CCCACATCAACCGGAGGAACAATCGAACCCGCCCCCACTCTAGCGCTTCCATGGCTCGCCTAACACCACTAGCCGAGCTAAGAAACACCAGAACCTCGTCGTCTAACACCACTAGTTGGAAGGGGGGAAGGGATTCGAGCCCTCAGCCCCTACACACAAGCAGAGCTCCACCCCATCTCACCACCCCCAAACCCATCAGCATCACCGCGCACCACCGGGACCGGCACCCGAACGAGAGAATCCCGAACGGTCCGTCGCTGGAGAAAAGGGCCCGCCCGAAGCCCACCATTTGCACAGATACAGAGTCAGCAGAGGCCAAAAAAGGAGAGGAACTCACCTCGAAAACAGACCGAGAAACACCAATTGCAGACCAATTGACGACCAAAGTGCTCGCCTCCACCAAAATCTGCGACTCCGACGAACTAGGGTTAGGCAGACCTTCAAACGCTAGCACCTCGCGGCAATACCATAGATTCGGAACAGCAGAGGAGGGACGGCGACCGAAGGCGACCACCGGCCGGCGCCGCACTGCCACCGAGGAAGGCAACGCGATTCGGAAGAGGGAGGTTTTTGCGGCGGCTTTTTTTTTCGCGAGAGAAGGACGGCTTATTATATATGTTAGTTAAATGAATTAAATCAATAAATAGATAAAAAATATTAAAATACAAAATAAATTATTTACCATGAAATTTTGCGTTGCACAAGAGATAAAAGTTATTAAAAATTAAAAGTTATTTATCATAAGTTAGTATTTCATGCAATTAGAGTGATTATAAATAAAAAATAATTTTATAAATTAAACGTTTGCCAGTTATCTAGCAATATGCAAAATGAATTGCTAAAAAAATTATAAGATTAATACAATCAATAATTATATAAGTATATGCAAGTAACTGGTATACAATCATTATTTTTTAAATCTTTTATTTTTATAATATTTTATTTGATCTCACTAACACCATGTTCAAGAAGGTGAGGAATTTAAATAAATATTATACTATTACAGACATCATATGTTGTGTCGAATAGAATTGACATATTATCTTAAATAATTTAATAATATTTAATAAAAATAATTTTCTTATATTGTATCATGTGCATTGCACGAGTAGCAACACTAGTCAATATAAGTAAATAGTATCAATCAACCATATTAAACTAATATTGAAGTCCTAGAGTTTCTCTCCCTGCAGACGTCTCTCTGAGAGTACTATTGCAACACAAAGTCTTCGGAATCCATTTTCCTTTCGGTTGATCTAGTATTTGGTGTCTCTTTTCCCATTTTTGTTCTCGTCCAATTTTCCCTTATTTTATCTTCGCTCGTCGCGTTTATTTTCTTTCTCACCATTTTCGAGTTTAGGGTTAGTTTCTTTTCAATTGTTTTCTCTTTGGAGATTTTTTTTTTCCTATTGTTTCTCGCAGATCTCTGGTGAATTGTGGTGTTCAATTGGCGTGTTATTCATATTTGTTATCTCCCACGGTCAAGCTTCACTTTAACGTTACTGTTTTTTTGTTGGCAACCGAAGAGGAGGTCGCTCAGATCATTAACCGTCTCACGCTTCAGGAATATGAATCTATTAGATGAATTTGAACAATAAGGTGTATAGAACACAAAGAGAAAACCAAACGATTGTATTATCTGAGGGAGATGAAGTGAAAAACTATTTGGGATATTAGGGTTTCTGCCCTTATATACTACTATGCTAAACATAAAGTGTTAAACAGCAAGTAACACTTTTACAATGCAGAAATAACTAAAAGTGTAGTACAATAATGAAAGCTCTATGTACAACTATTCTATTACCCCCCCCTCAAGTGGAGCATGGATATTAGGCATGCTCAACTTGGAGAGGAGAGACTTGAACAGAGGGCCTGGAAGAGCTTTTGTCAAGAAGTCTGCTAGTTGGGATTTGGTGGGAATGTGCTTAAGCTGGATGAGCCTTTGAGCTATCTTCTCTCTTATTAGGTGGCAATCCAGTTCGATGTGCTTTGTTCTTTCATGGAAAACAGGATTAGAGGCCATAGCAATAGTTGAACTACTATCTGTAAATAGGCAAACAGGTGTAGTAAGTGACAACTATAATTCAGAGCAAAGAGAAGATAACCATTGTATTTCACATGATGTGTATGCTAGGGCTCTATATTCAGCCTCTGCAGATGATCTACTTATAGTTGGTTGTTTCTTTGATTTCCAAGATATAAGTGAGTCACCAAGAAATATCAAATATCCAGTCACACTCTTTCTAGTATCAATGCAAGAAGCCCAGTCACTGTCACAATATGCTGTAAGTTGTAATTTAGAAGATTTAGGAAAGAGTATACCTTGTCCAATAGTGCCTTTGACATACCTTAACACTCTCTGTGCTGAGTGAAGATGCTGTGCAGTAGGTTGTGACATATATTGGCTTAAAGATTGAACAGAGTATGCTATGTCTGACCTGCTGATAGTAAGATATAATAATCTACCTACAAGCCTTCTGAATTCAGATGGATTATCAAGAGCAGGTGAATTATCATTCTTACTTAATTTCAGAGATGAATCCATAGGAGTTAATGCAGGTTTGCAAGCAAGAAGGCCTGTGTCGGTTAAAATGTCTAGAGCATATTTTCTTTGACACATATGAATGCCTTGTTCAGAATGAGCAAATTCAAGTCCTAGAATATACTTGAGTTTGCCTAAATCTTTGATAGTAAAGCAATCATCTAAATGTTTCTTTATGGCAGTGATATGATTCATGTTGTTACCAGTCAAAATAATATCATCAACATAGACAAGTAAGATGGTAACAGAAACTGAATCATTCATATAGAAAAGGGAGCAATCTGCAATTAACTGAGTAAAACCATAAGACAGTAAACATGAAGTTAACTTTTGAAACCACTGTCTTGAGGCTTGTTTCAAGCCATAAAGATTTTTTGTCAATTTGCAAACTTTAGTCTCAGATTCAGAACAATAGCCAGGGGGGAGTCATGTAAACTTCTTCATTTAGATCACCATGCAAGAATGCATTATTAACATTTAGTTGATGGATGTGCCAATTTTTGAGAGATGCTAATGCAAC